GATGAGTTGTGGAGCTGGGTATGAGGGTGTGACTAGAGGGGCGAGCACACTGTGGGACAGAGGACAGGGGAGCACCTCATGTTTTTAGTAGATTTATTCAAGCAAATCCCATACAGTAAAATTTACCCAATTTAAGGCTACACTTTGGTTGGTGCCGGCAAGTGTATATAGTTGTGTAACTACCACATTCAATATATGGAGCAGTTCCATCCCCCAAAAGATGCCCTTGAGCCTCGGTGTGGTTGATGGGCCTGGCACCCGATAACCATTGATCTGCTCTCTGCCCCTGTAGTTTTGTCTTTTCTAGGATGTCATATAGATGGGACTACACAGTTTGAAGTCTTTGGGGCCTGACTTATTTCTCTTAGTGTGATATTTTTTGAGATTCATCCATGCAATTGTGAATCTCAGTAGTTCCTTCTTATTCCTTCTTATTACTAAGTAGTATTCCATTGTAAGAATGTGTCCGATTTGTTCGTCTGTTCACCAGTTGATGGACATGTGGGTCGATTTCAGTTTTTGGAGATTATGAATAATGCTGCTACATATAAGCCTTTCTCTGGACATGTTTTCATTTCTCTCTGTCAGTCACCTGAGAAGGGAATTGCTAGGTTACGTGGTGTTTATCCATCAAGGATTCTGTATGGCAGTTTCTTTCTTCTTAGGATTTAACTGCCTTGTGTTTTCCCAGAGGCAGGAGGATAGCATGTGTGTGTGTGGGACTTTCTCAAATACCGTTATAGCTGCAGCCCAGATGAGTCTGTGGCTTCTTAGCTCGTCACCATGTGTGAAATGGAGTCTAGATTTTTCCAACCCTCCATGGGAAACCATGAATCTCTCTGCCTCTCTAGGTCTGGGGTGTTTTGGCAGAGAGTGAAGTGGATGAGGGTCCGTATGCACCCTGAATGGGGGTCGTATAGATTCTGGGGGAGAGGAGAGTGTTGGGGTGCTCTTGCTGCCAAGGCCAGTATGAAGAGGCAAGAAGGCAAACTGATGAGGAGTAGTTATCAACTTCTGCCACGTACTAAAGGTCAGCTGTCCTCATCTGAAAATGGACACAGTTAAGGCCTCAACCTTACACGGTTGTTGGGGGACCATATGATGGAAAGCGCCCTGTGTGGTACCCAGTGCATAGTAGGTGCTTTGAAATGTTAATAAACAGAAGCCAAGGAGAAGGTGGAGGAAGGCCTGTGTTTGGTGAGGCATAGTCTTCCCTTAAAGTAGGGGTTCCTCTTTTTTTAAAAAAAATTTGCCAAGAATGTCTCTAGCAATCTGGCAGAAGCTTGTGGACTTCTTCTAAGAATGTTTTTAATGCACAAAATAAAATATGTGGGCTTACAGAGGAAGTAAATTTTATTTAGAGAGCTGTCAAATACTAAAAACAAATCAGTATGTGGTAACACATGTCCTTAGTTACTTAATTGCATTAACAAGATAATCCATTAGGTAAGTTAAGTTATAATTTTATTTTTTGAAGGCACATCAGTGACAAGGCTGTTGTTGCTTAGCTTCAAGGGAGGCATTAAGCTGAGGTATGTTCTAGATGGATCATGCCCCGCATGAAGGACACCAGGTGCTCATGATTGTTTTGATGCTCCTAAGTGCTGAGGATCCCACTTTGCAAATGAAATGGCAGCTTTGCTATAGCTGGCTTCTTAAGGCAAGGGTAGGCTTCTCCCTAGGATCGTCAGAGTTCTCCAGCTTTTTGAGTCAAACTCAGTTGTGAGAACCTGGGATCCCACTTTGGGGGCCCAGAACCACCAGGCACAGAGTTGTCCCAAATAGGCCAGTTATGTCACCCCAGGTCTGTGGGCAGGGGACCCGGGTCTGGTAATCACTGTGGTTTGAAAGGAGTGATGAGTGCAGGCTGCGTTCCAGATACCTGCACAACTGAGGTGTGATGTGAAATGTCTGTGAGCCTCTATGGTGACCACATCCCAGGCTCTGTGACTCGACAGGGCACCCTTCACTTGTGATTGAAGGAAATGCTTGCTTTTAGTTAGAGGTAGGAAAATATAGGCATAATTGTGTACAAACCATCCAGGCTCATGAGAACCTTTAGTCTGGTCTCATCCTAATCCATCCTCCTCACTTTCCCCCAGCAGAGGCTTGAGCACTAGGGACCCCACCGACACTCCTGCCCTTGCTGACCCCTGGCCCTGGAAGTGGATAGCAGAGATTTGACCCCTAGTACTGCCAATCTTAGGAGCCAGATCTGTGGGAAGAGAGAGGCATATTTTCCCATGGAGGTATAGTAAAGCCTACCCTCACCTTGAGAAGCCAACCAGCTATAAAACTGGAAGGGGCTCTCAGACCATCTCGTCCCACACTGTCATTTTATGGCTGGGAACACCGAAGCCCAGAGAGGGGAAGGGAGTTGCCCAAGATCCCACAGCATATGGCCAGCAGGATGAAGGCTCAGTGCTGGCGAGGCTTACTGGCTGGTAGGGTTGAGAGAGATTTCAGAGAGAGAGAGAGAGAGTGAGAGAGCGAGTTGCAGAGAAGCCTGGGTGCCCAGGCTTTCACCCTCCTTTAGACATTTTGGAGGCAGGTCAACTTTCAAATGATGCTGTCCTCCCATTTGGAGGCAGGTCAACTTTCAAATGATGCTGTCCTTCTCCCGTTCCTGCGGACTGCCGCTCTACACATTTGTGTTTTCTCCCTGATGCCCTTTCAGGGACTGACTGGGCCCTGTTATTGCCTGTGGCGCTTGTAAGAGATGAGGGAAGCTGGAGCTGGAGCTGTAGGGGTGGTGAGGGGGAGGAGGGATAGAGGTGATGGGCCCAGCCCAGCCCAATGGGAGCAGGCAGCTGTAGACAGCTGTTGCCTGTTTGTCATGCCCTCCTTCCAGACAGCCAACCACGTTCTTGGAGGAGGCTGTTGCCACCCATGCCTCCTTGGCCCAGACTGCTGAGAGGGGTCTGGGAGACTTTGGTGAACCGCGTTGGGAGCCTGCCATGGCAGGCAAAGTGGAGAGAACTAGAGAGAAGTTTCTGGCTCTGCTGAAACTTCCCCTCCCCCTCTCTGAGCTGCCTGTGTTTCTGTTCAGGAACAGAGGCTCATTCCCTCCACCTTTGACCAAAGAGGGAGAGTTAGAGAGAGCGAGAGAGAGAGAGCGAGAATGAGAGAGAGAGAGCGAGAGAGAGCGAGAGAGAGAGAGAAAGAAAGAGAGAAATCGGGCCAGGTGTGGAGTCATGGTGGGGCTCCTATGAACACAAGGTGTGCGTGTTAACAAAACAGTCATGTAGGCTCTGGGAGTTTTCAAGGATGACAAGGCTGGGTGAGAAGGAGGGAGGGAGCACTTTCCAGACTGAAGAGGGAGAGGGATCAGTAGTGGTTTGAGAAGATAATCGGAGGGAAAGCATGAGGCTAGTCATTCCCTCGAGGCGGTTCTGGGGAGGGGAGCCTGAGTACGTAGCTGTGGGAGAAGCCCAGGGAGCACCTGACTTGGACCAGGAACTTTGACTCAGGGTCTAGGGGAGAAAAGGCGGAGAGCTCAGCATTCAGACTGAGCTGCTGACCCTGACCCCACCATCCACTTCCAGAGGTGCTGCTGCTGGTTTGAGAGGGCCAGGCGGGGTGGGGGAGTGTGGATGGTTGGAGCAGATCGTAGCCACTGATGCAGAGCAGCTCACGCTCAGCCGAAGGCGGCTAGGGGCGTTGCCATGTTCTAAGGACTGCTTATTGTCCCTGTGCTTCTAGAGTACAGGGTAGATCCATCTCAGAGTGCAGATGGGGTTGGGAGTGGTAGGGGGTAGGTTTGTCCCTCCCTTTCCCTATCTTGGACCATTAGTGCCGCAGGGAGCCAGTGGCTGCTGAGCTCTCGGAAAATTCTGTCTCCCATGTCTGGACCCCAGAGCTAATATTCACCACACCCTCTAGCAGCTCTTCACAGGTACCCTAGCCATTTCCTTATTTGTTTTAAATAAGCTTTAACTTTATTTCCCAGTATTCAGAGGAGAAAAATGAGAAAATTCAGAGAAGCAAAAAGGAGAAAATAAAAATTACCTATGATCTCATCGCTTTGTGATAATTCATATTAGCATCTTGGCGTGTGTCCTCCCAGACTTTTCTCCTAATACAGTTTCATGAATTAACATAAGATGTAGTTTGAACTTGCCTTGCGACCTGCTCTTTCTAGTCCTGTTTCTGAGATGTCTTTCCACATCAGTCAATAGGATATTTTTAATGACCATTTAACATTCCACATTAGAGGTGTCCCATAATTTATTCAACAAATCCCCTATTGTTGTCTGGAAGTTGTTTCCAGTCTTTTGTTATAAACAACACTGCCCGGGGTAGCCCATTTTTTGCGTACATCTTTAAGTGTTTACCTGGGAAAGAGCTCTCCAAGAGGATGCCCAGCAGACCTCATGTGAGACAGAAGCTTTGCTTGTCAGTGGTGTCGAGGTTGATGATGATGTTAATGTCAATTTCAGGGGGGCCTGGTGCTTTCACTGGACCCTTGATCTGCTGAGAGCTCACCCAGTCAGGACCTCCCTGGCCTAAGTTTGTGACATACATGGATGGAATGTCCTCTTGCATCCTGTTCCCACCCAGATTCTTTATGACTAAGCCTGACTTCCCGCTGCACCTGCCCCTGGTTCTCCCTCAGGTCTTCTACTTCTCCTAGTTTGGAAGGCCTGGCCTGACCTGGTCACCTAGAGCCCTCAGTCCTGACCTGGTCTGGAAGGGTAACCCCTTCCTAACTGTCTTGTTTTCGCCAGAGGAATGTAAACTCTACGGGGTTGGGGCTGCATCTTTATGTCTCTATGTCCATAACCCCAAAGCACCAGCAGAGGGCCAGGCACATATCAGGCACTTGGCAAACGTGGTAGGTGGCGCACCTGCCATCCGTCTCCAGCTGCAGGGTGAGCTGGCTCTCTCTGGGCCTCAAATTTTGCATCTGTACATACGATGGGGGTGAGGGGTGGGCTAGGTTTCTTTCTTCCCTGGCTTTTCCCACCCTTTCCTTGAACACACACCCTGTCACCCCACAGGTCTTGGGTCCTGAGGCTGCCTGTTGACTATGGGTACAACAGCCAGCACAGCTCAGCAGACAGTCTCAGCCACTGCCCCCTTCGAGGGACTCCAGGGTGGCGGCACGATGGATGGGCGGCACTCAGTCAGCGTCCACTCCTTCCAGACCACGAGCTTGCACAACAGTAAGGCCAAGTCCATCATCCCTAACAAGGTGGCTCCTGTCGTGATCACGTGAGTGGCAGGGGTAATGTGACCATGTCTCTGGAGGACATGACTGGGGGAGCTGCCCGGAGGGGTGGTGGCATAATGTCTACAAATCGCTTTCATGGATGAAGACACAGGGGCCCAGAGAGGTTAGGCAGAGACTCTGTCGTGGGTGTCTTAGCTTATGTTACTTACTATGTCCGTAGTGCCAGGGAGCGTGGAGAGGGCAGAGTGACTGGGGAAACACTTTTTTGAAAATAAATTTTGGCTGAACATTTTCAAAGGAAGTTTATATACTTAGATGCATAAAATTTAGATTTTTTTCCCCACAACCAGTAATTATGGTTGGAAACTGAGGTTAACACCAGGCCATTAAAGGGCCTTGGGCTGAAAAAGCTGGAAGCTGTTGGTCAAATGTCCTAATTAGGTCCTTTGGGGACAGTCTCAGAGGAGGCTGAGGGTTCGTTCTGGCACCATATTTTGAGAGAGACCTGGATACACTGTGTGCGTCCAGAGGAAGAGGGTCAGGAAGGGGCCCTGAAACTGTGCCTGCCTTAAGGGCCCAGTGAATGAGCGGGTGCTGGGTGCCCAAGGCCAGAAAGATGGAAGGGGCATTGGATCTGTCTCCTGGGGAGTCGGAAAGCCTCGACTTCCATCGAATCCGCCCACTGTTCTCCCTTGCCTCTGGGCCCGTCAGGACACAGAGAATAGGACACAGTGAGCTAAGGATTAAATATATTCCACACATAGAAGTTTGGCAGAGACCTAGCAGATGGGGCCTTCTGTGTAAGGAAACCTGAGGGTGAATGGTAAATGTGGCCTGCTAGCTTTGGGGCCTGACAGGAAAATTATAATCATAATAAGTTACTGAGTTCATAATGAGGGGAGATGTTATATAAAAGAGACTTAATATGTAGTCTGTCTACTAGAGATGACAAAACTAGGTTTGAGCCTTGAGGGCAGTATTGGAGACGTGTGTCCTGGGCCTTCCTTGCTTCATGATCTTGGGCGAATTTATTCCCTTCTTGAGCCTCAGTTTCCTTATCAGGACACGTGGAGATGATATTCAAAGTATTTAAGTAAGTGATGTCGCTCAGAAAAATGGCCTGCTGTAAAAATCCATCATAATGGTCTTGTACCTGCCTCCTACAGCCAGCCATGAGTGCAGTACTCCTAGTGTGTTTGAGGTGGAAGGGACCTTAGAGATCATCCAACACAGGGACCAGCCAACTATATCCTGTGGGTCAAATACAGCCCATCATCTGTTTTTGTAAATAAAGCTTTATTGGAACACTGCCATTCCCATTTATTGACATATTGTCTGTGGATGCTTAACAGTTAAACTGCAGAGTTGAAGTTAGTTGCAACAGAGACTGGATGACCTCTAAAGCCTCGACTATTTACCATTTGTTTCTTGATATAGAAGTTTTGCTGACTCCTGATCAGATGCAAAAACTGACCTACATACACAAACTGAGTTTCGGAGGGTAAAAAGATTTGCTCACCACAGGCCATGCAGTGAGATGGAGGCAGAGCTGGTAGCGAGAAGCCAGGTCTCTTGACTCCTTGTCTAGTGCTCCCTGCCCCACCCATTCCAGCAGCCTGCCTTTCCTAGAGGCGATTCTTTTGCGAAGAGGATCAGACACCAGATCGCGCACTCTGGGAGGCAGTGTCTTATTCATTATTATAATCAGCACAGAAGCTTTTTGTGTCCTGAGTACACAGATTTCCCCCTGGTTTAGCATCTGCAGAAACCTAGAGTTATACCTGTGGGTTTCGTTTGAAATGGCCCTGTGTGGAGGTAGAATTACTCCTGGTAATAATAATTTTATTGATATGTTCTTATTGTGCCCAAGGCACTGGGCTAAGCACTTACATTTATTAATGCATTGAATTCTCACGGCAGCCCTAGGAGGTGGGAATCACTGGGGTGGAGCTACAGAGAGAGTGAGTAACTCCAAGAGCATGGAGTTACTAAGTGGAGGTAGATTCATGCCCAGGCCACGGGGCCCCCAAGTCTGTGTCTGAATTGCCTAACCGTGCTGTGAGATTGTCAGTGTGGAGAATGTTCTCAGAGACAATCTGAAGGAGCAAAGTAATCCCCGAATCGAAAACCTTACAGAAGACAGAAACTTCTCACACATAAAAGTTCAAGAGGTGTACCAGTCTGATATGGCCACTTCACGATCAGCCAGGCTCCTCTTCTCTTGTGACTCCGCCGTCATCGACATCTACTTCCTGCCATCACTTCTGGATCTAGCCGGGGAGAAGGAGAGAAACATAGAAGGCACACATCTTCCCTTTAAGGGAATGGTGCAGAAGTTGCACACATTACTTTTCCTCACATCCCATTGGCCAGAACTTAATCACATGACCATACTAGCTGCAGGGGTGTCTGGGAAATATAATCTTCAATTGGATGGCCCAGTCCTAATTCCGAGCTTCTATTGCTGATGAAGGGGAGAGTAGATATTGGGGTACAAGGGGCGGTCTCTGCCACAAAGGGGTAGCCACATGGGCGGGAGGTGGGGGCCCTGCTGTGGAGTCTGGTGAGGTTGGAGAGGACTCTGGCCACAAAGTTGCTTGACTCGGTCTCTGTCTGCCCCTGGCAGGTACAACTGCAAGGAGGAGTTCCAGATCCATGATGAGCTGCTCAAGGCCCATTACACTCTGGGCCGGCTCTCGGACACTACTCCTGAGCACTACCTGGTTCAGGTGAGGTCCAGTCCTATTCTCCCCTCACCCTTTTGGCCTGTCTCCTCCTAGCCTCCTTCCTCACAGGGTTTCTCCTTTTTTCCCTACTGTCCCCACCCCACCCTCCAGAGTCCCAATCCCACTTCTTCTCACCCCGTGGTTTCCTGAGGCCTGTTCCTCCTGCCTTGTGGAGCCCCTGCTCTTCTCTTTCCATCCCCTGCCCGGCCCCAGCCTTTTCAGAGCCTCTCCTTCGGGGCACCAGGAGAACACAGATGGGGACAAAGGCCCCTAGGCCCCAAATTGCTTCTTCTAGGCTGGGGATCTCCCTCCCCTTCTCTTTCAAAGTTTCAGGATTTCTTTGGCTTAACTCCTCTCTCTCTCTCTCTCTCTCTCTCTCTCTCTCTCTCTCTTTCTTTCTTTTTTTTTTTTGTTTTAAATATTCCCTGGAAAGTAAAGTCCACAAGGACAGGTGACTTTTCACTGGTCTTGTTCACTGCTGCTACCCCCGGCCCCAGAACAGTGCTTAGGTGCTATGTAGGTGGTCAGTAAATAGTCAAGAGTGAATGACTGTATGAATAATCATAATGATTAAACTGTATTTGCTGAAAGAGTAGCTAGGAATTTTTGGCATCTGGAAGAAGTGATCCCACTTATCTGTGAGCGATGTCCATGCAGTCCTACTGAAGGCAGGGGGATGGACAAGATGAGCTCAGGGTTCCTTTTTGTCCAGGAATGAACTCTTCTGGTTCCCCGACTCTCTCCTGATTTCCAAATGGTGTTTTTCTCTTTTCTTAGTAGTTATGGCATTCGTTCACCCCAGCTAGGAAGGGGAAAAACTTACCCGTCCTCAGAACGGTAGGGCCCTAGGAAGCTAGCACAGTTTTCCTCTGGTTGATTCCTGCCGCCCCACCTGTGACTCCCTACTCAGGCCCCTTCTCCATCCAGTTCCTCCGGGGGCAAGAGACGTTTGCCTTCCTTCCAGGGAGCTTCAGGTTTGCTCTACAGCCAACTTCAGTTTTCTGCCCCTGCAGTGCCTCTCCCTGCTCTCCTTCTTCAAGGCCTGGCTCAGATGCCACCTCCTACATGAAGCCTTCTCAGACTCCCCCTTAGGAGGAATCGTCTTTTCTTTTCCTACACTCTGTGTCAGCCTGCCAAGGATCACAGATGGTCATGTATTTTCATCTGTTTTTTTTTTCTGTGAGCCTGCAGACAACTTGAGGACCGTGTTCCCCACCCCATCTCCCTGCTCCCCATCCCCTGGGACCTGGGATAGAGCCCTGCCTGTAGAAGATGTCCCCGAGTCATCTGAGTGACCCCCTGTGGCTCTCCCATTGCTAGGGACGCTACTTCCTAGTGCGAGATGTTGCTGAGAAGATGGACGTGCTGGGCACTGTGCGGAGCTGTGGAGCCCCTAACTTCCGGCAGGTGCGGGGAGGGCTAACCGTATTTGGCATGGGACAGCCCAGCCTCTCAGGGTTCAGGCAGGTCCTCCAGAAACTCCAGAAGGACGGACACAAGGTAAGCATGATCACTTTCCGGGCAGGGGCTCGCCTGCAAATCTGGAGAAAGGGATTCCTGGGAGGAGAAACTTCAGAGGCTCTGGAGGGGCCGGGCCACATGATGAGAAGGGCAGCTGGTGACCCGGACCAGGCCCTGTCAAGCCTTGAGTACCATGATGGTCGTTGTAGTCAGCATGGTTGGGAGATTCTGGGCAAATGTTTGTTGCATTGTCCTGTGTGGACTTGGGAGCCCAAGGTCAGAAGCCCACTGCGAGGACCTCGGAGGAAGTGAGGAGGGTGACAGGGTGACAAGAGGGGCCAGGTCATGATGAGAGAGCTCCGAGGTGATGGTCACAGCTAATGCTTATATCTTCACATCAACCCTATGAGGGTGGGGCAGCTATTCTATTTTATAGAGGAGGAAACAGGCTCAGAGAGGACAAGCGACATAGCTCGTGAGTGTTGTCCCAGGACCCAAACCCAGACACCTGGACTCCAGGGGGCTACTTTTGAATGACTCCTCTCTCTTGGTGGGGTTTTGAGTGTCTCCGGGACAGAGGCTGAGGGTCCACTGTGATTTCAGGCTCATCGTGGGCTCCCAGTGTCTGACTTGACCTGCAGTTAAGATGGAGAGTCTTTGAGTGAATCAGAGTGGGCTGGGGGGTGTAAGCCGTGCAAATCCATTTTCTCAGCTTTCCTGCAGGTTCCTCCAGGGTGGAGTCTGCCCACGTATCTCCCTTAGTCTGTACCATGCATAGTGAATGAATAATTGCATGATGGTAATAGGTGTTCATTTCTTCAACTGATGCTTTTCGAGTACTTGATTTATCTAGGGCTCCATGCTAGGAATTGTGGGGATGTGAACATGACCAGGATATGATTCTACCTGCAAGGAATCTGTAGTCTATGAAGGGAGAAAAGATGTATTCATGATAATGTTATTACATAGCAGGAATTAGCACCTTCAGATGAAGGACTTGAGAGGAGAGAGGGTCAGGAACAGATAGCATTTGGGCTGAGCTTTGTTTCTTGGGTGAGATTCAGGTTGCAGGGACAGGATGGGGTGATGGGCCCTTCAGGAGGGGGAACAGCCTGCTCAAAGGCCTGGAGGTGGAGCAGTGGAGCGAATGTCCATGTCCGATAGTGGTGATGGTGTCCTTCCTCCTCGGTCTCCTGGCAGGAGTGCATCATCTTCTGTGTGCGGGAGGAGCCCGTGCTGTTTCTGCGTGCTGATGAGGACTTTGTGCCCTACACACCTCGAGACAAGCAGAACCTTCACGAGAACCTCCAGGGCCTTGGACCTGGGGTCCAGGCAGAGAGCTTAGAGCTGGCCATCCGGAAAGAGGTGAGGGCCACTGGTATGGACGAGAGGCTCCCTTCCTGGCAGGCCTCAGCAGCAGAGTTGAGACCCCAGCCCACAGCCCAGTTTGGCTCTCACCAGCCCACACTCGTCCACTTTGCTGTCCTGCTTGGACGAGTGGCTGGCTACGAGGCCTGCTCACAGGCAGCCAGAGGAAGGGCTTCCTATTCCTCCGGCTCTGTTTGCCTCTGCTCCTTTTGCACCCCGCTTTTCTGCTTTGCATTCAGCATCCCTATTTGGAAAGGGTTCTGGTGGAGTGAAAAGAGCACTCGACTAGGAGTCCAAGACTGAAGTTCAGCCCATCATGAGCTGTGGGGCCTGGGGTGAATCACTTCTCTCATGGGCCTTTGTTTCTGAGATTCCTCTGTCCTCCTCCTCCACAAAGTTTATCAAGGTCTCTGAGGCTGTTGACACATCACAGAGGTGTGTAAATAGAGTGTGAGTGGTCACAGTGCCCCTGCCAGAGACTTTCATGGGCAGGAGCTGAAGCCGCATTGGCCACTGGTCATCTCTCCATCTCCCTTCCAGTCTTCCTCTCTAGCTCCCAGAGCCCTTCCTACCTGACCCCAGTGTATAGGTGGCTACCCTCAGGACACCCATGGCATAGAGAGCATCCCTGGCCATGTAGTTCCCCCTGGGGGAAAAGCAGCCTGTCTGTGGCCTCTGTGTGGCCTAGCCACTCCAGAGCTCAGCCAGGAAGGCCGGGAGGGACTTGAAGGTCCATCATGGCCCTCTGGCCCTCATACCTCCATGTAGATCCACGACTTTGCCCAGCTGAGTGAGAGCACGTACCAAGTGTACCACAATACCGAGGACCTTCGTGGGGAGCCGCACACTGTGGCCATCCGGGGCGAGGATGATGTGCACGTGACCGAGGAGGTGTACAAGCGGCCCCTCTTCCTGCAACCCACCTACCGGTACCGAGGGCCAGTTCTGCACAGGACCCCAGGGTGTTGGGCGTGTTGCTCTCTGGGCCTGTCCTCCACTGTGGCCTCAGTCTCACCATCTGCAGGTGGGGCTGAGTTCCCCGTGCCTATCTCCCACGGGAATGCAGGGAGGAGGGGGATGCCCAGGGTGTGTGGCCTGCCTGATGGGCTGCTCCCCGTCACCTGGCAGGTACCACCGCCTGCCCCTGCCTGAACAAGGGGCTCCGCTGGAAGCCCAGTTTGATGCCTTTGTCAGTGTCATCCGGGTAAGCGGGGGTGAGAGCACGGAGTGGGGCAAGGGCCTGGAGAGTGGGTGTGTGTCTAGGCCCTGTCTCCATGGAGATGCTCAGGGTGGGTGTGGCCTCTGGATTTCCTCGGAAGAAGTCCTCATTCTGTGTTGTGGATGGTGTTGAGTATGTCGGGTATGTGTGTGTGTACACGTCTGTGTATCTCTGTGTGTGTGGTGTGTGTTCACATGTAGGGTGGGGTTGTGTGTGTTTGTGTGTGGATGAGTATTTGCACATCCTCTGATGACACAGCCCGGCACTTACTGGAGTACTGGGATGGTGTTGAGTATGTCGGGTATGTGTGTGTGTACAGGGACTTCGGCCCTGATCGGGCTGCTAACTTGCTGTGTGATCTTGGACAATTTCCGAACTCGCTAGACCTCAAGTTCCTCATTTCTTTATTGGAGCTAAAAATTCTTACCCTCTAGACTCTTCCACTGGTACTTACTGAGTCCTGGTGGTATTTCTCTTCCAACCCCTTCAGGGTGTCACCTTATTTAATTAATATTTTACGGGGCTGTTAGATATGGCCTTGTTCCCTCTGAGTAGTTCTTGCTTTCAGAGACAGTTCCTTGATCTCCTCCAGGGTCTGGGAAGGAGGCAGGGCCTGCACAACCTGGGGGCAGGTGGAACAGGGGGAAGGTAGAGCAGACTGGGTTTTGGGGTTTGGCGAAAAAGGCTGAGCTGCCTATTTGGCCCCATCTTGCCACAGGCTGTGGGATGGGGTGGGCCTATGTCCTAACCCCCTACCCCTCTTTGGTCCTTAGCCGGGGGATTTCTGGGTCACGCCATTACATGATACTCATGGTTATTTTCCCAGGAGACTCCCAGCCTGCTGCTGCTCCGTGATGCCCATGGGTCTCCCCCTGCTCTCCTCTTCAGCTGCCAGACAGGCTTGGGCAGGACCAACCTGGGCATGGTCCTGGGTACTCTCATCCTGTTTCACCATAGCGGGTCTGCCTCCAGGCCAGAGTGAGTGGCATGGGACCCGGTTCCTCAAGTGGCTGCCCAGTATGCTGGGGACATCTCAGGAGCTCAGAGCCAGAGCTGCAAAGGGGGCATCTCGGGTTCATTTTCTGGTTTGTCATAGACTTGGTGGGTGACCTGGAGAAAGTCGCTTGACTTTTCTGGGCCTTAGTTTCCCCAGTGGGGGAAATGCCCCTTGCCTCCCCCAACCTGATTTGAGAGGAAGACTTGGAACCTGTAAGTCTGGTGCTTCTCAGTTGCTGTGTAAATGGGAGAGTGTCAACAGCAGGGCTGGCCTAGAGGCCTGTGGGAGTGCTGATTATGCTACTGCCCCCTTCCTTGTCAGGGCTGTTCCCCCGAAGACCAAGCCACTGCCCATGGAACAACTCCAGGTGATCCAGAGCTTTCTCCATGCCGTGCCCCAGGGAAGGAAGATGGTGGAGGAGGTGAGCAAGGGGGCTGAGCAAGGAGCTGGGGCAGGGGCAGTGAACTCCCCTCACCGGTGGGGTCTCTTTCTTCTCTGATACCCCCGCCCGCCTTCTCGGCTAATCATTCGGTCTCTCTCCTCTCTTCTCTCTCCCCCATCTTATCTTTCCTTGGCTCCCTTCCTGCTGCTGTCCCCTCTTCCCTGCCTTGGTCCTTGGTACCAGGTGGACAGAGCCATCGCTGCCTGTGCTGAGTTGCATGACCTAAAGGAAGTAGTCTTAGAAAACCAGAGGAAGCTGGAAGGCATCCGGCTGGAGAGCCCAGACCAGGTGAGGTGGGGAGAGCTTCTGCTTAAGCACAAACCTTGCCGCCTTGTTCGTTAAGCCTGTTGACTGGCTTCTTTCAGATTGACTTTTCCTGGTTGCTTCTCCCACCAGAAGAGTGGCTTTCAGAGGAAGGGGAGATAGGGGAGCTGGGCTTGCAGGAAGGATGGATGAGGAAGAGGGGAAGTTTACTTTCCTTGACCAGGTGCCCTCACTGCAGAATAAACAGGACAGAGGAAGGGGCTGCTGACGGGGCGCTGGGGGCCTCCGGGTCCAGATATTTCCCAGACCGCTCATGGCTTGCCTTGAAAATAAAACCCATGATATTTCTTTGGGAAGGCCGGGGCTTGGTCCAGCTCACTGCTTCTGGAAAAGCGGTGGGTTCTGGGCTGTTTCAGCAGGGCTGTCCCCATGCTCTGGGGAGAGGAGGTTGGCTTGACAGTGTTTGCACACAGAGTATGGAAAGAATCTAAAGCCCGCAGAGCCTTTTTATTCTTTAAAACTTTAAAAACATCTTTTAAAAGCAATGTCATATATGGAAAATTGAGAAATTAGAGAAGGAATAAAATCACTCGTAATCCCAGCACAGCTGCTGTGAGCACTTGGGGCTGGCTTCCTTCATTTCTCATTTTATGATGTCCTTGTGTAGGTTGTCCCAGCATGCGGTTTGCATCATGCTTGCTTTGTTTTGTCTTTCCCATGTCCATACCTGATTGCTGTCATTGAGATTTTCTCTGGCCGTGTAACTTAAGCCCCTTGCGTGGTGCAGTCATCACTGGCCTGATAGGTTAGAAGCCTGGGCGTGTGGTTATGGGCAACCTGCTTAACTGCTCTATGCCTCAAGTTTCCCCACTTGCAAAATGGGACCACTAATGATGATGACCCCATAGGATGGTTGTGAGGAGCAGGTCAGATAAGATCCATAAAGCACTTGGAAGGGGGCCTTTCAGAGAGCAGGTGTCCCTGGCATGTCACCTGCCATGGTTTACTAAACAGGCCCCTTTTTGTTGGCTAGTTGAGTCACTTCCAGTTCCTCATCAGTGTAAACACTTTTACGATGAGCAGCTTCATGAAAATGACCTTTGATGCCTTTAGTATCATTTTCCTTAGTCTAGCTTAGGGGCTGGCACACTATAGCCCATCGGCCAAATCCAGCCCACCACCTGCTTTGGAGATAACTTTTACTGGGACATGGTCTTGCCCATTCATTTATGTGCTGTCTATGCCTCTCTTATGCTGCAGTGGCCGAGCTGGACAGTTGAAACAGAGACCATGTAGCCTGCAAACCTAAATACTTACTGTGTGGCCTTTTATAGAAATAAAAGTTTGCTGGCCTGGATTCCCAAAGATGGAATTAAGCTTCATCAAAGGGCATGACCTTTCCTTCGAGCCTATACCAATCTGCCTTGCCCTCTGGAGGGTGGTACTGACCTAGCAGGAGAACCCTGACATCCAAAGGCCGAGAGAGGGACACTAGGGACTAATCTCCTCTCTGACAACCCCCGCGCCCCCCCCCTATTAGAGAGTCCTGGGCTGGGGTTAACACACTTGTTTGGGGACCCAGCTCTGTTTGCCATCAGCTGTGTGACTTTGAGCAAGTCACCTCATTTCTCTGAATCCCAGTTTCCCCCCGTAAAGTAGTGGTAATGATTACAGCCCTTGGAGCACTGTCGTGAGAGTCTTTTCGTTTTCTTGCAGGGAGGGTCACCGGCTCAGGGGAGGGTGTCGATATACTTGCTCCTTAAACACAGAGGGTGTGCCACCCTGCATGGTGGATGGTGTTGGAGCAAAGTGGGGAGCCGCAGCCTGTCTCTGGGCTCAGAGCCTGTGGGGGAGGCAGCCCCTACACCAAGGACTGTAGTACCTACTATATAGTCACCATAGCTCTCCCTGCACCAGGAGTTACCCGCTACAGATGGGGCGGAGTCAGATGCTTGGAAGACTTTCAGCCCAGCAGAACTGCGTTATGAAAAGAGGGGAAGATTGTCTTCTGGGGAGTCTCAGGCTTAACTCCTGCCCGTCCTGGGGTGGGGACTGGGTGACCACAGCAGCCCCATCTTTACGTTCTCGCCCTCTCTTCCTTTCCCCTTCTCTCAGGGAAGTGGCAGGCGGCACAGTGTCTGGCAGAGGGCGCTGTGGAGCCTGGAGCGATACTTCTACCTGATCCTGTTTAACTACTATCTCCATGAGCAGGTGGGGCTGGGGGAGGAGTGGACCCATGTCCCTTCTCCCGGAACCCCTCCAGCCTCCCCGCCACAGAGACAGGCGTAGGGTCATGAGGGATCCTTGTGGAGCTGGGGAGGAGAGTGGGGACATGTGTGTTGGTTCTCGAGGAAGGTGGGTGTGGGGGAGGCAAAGAAAGACCCGGATAAAGGGGGACATGTGTGTTGGTTCTCGAGGAAGGTGGGTGACCCAGATAAAGCGGGTGGTCTGTGCTAGTTCGGGCAAAGCGGGACCCACCTCTCTTCACTGGGCCCTAGTCTCTGTACCCTTAGCCAGGGCATCGGGGTCCAGAAGGATCTTGCTTCAGACATCCTGGTCCTTGCTTCCCACCTTCTCATCCCTGCCCAGGGCCACCATAGATGTCTCTGGGGGCTCCCCCACCACAGGGCAGACAGAGTGAGTTCAGGATGGCACTGTGCCCCTGAATCCCTGTCTCTCTCTGCCTTGGGCTGCAGTACCCGCTGGCCTTTGCCCTCAGTTTTAGCCGCTGGCTGTGTGCCCATCCTGAGCTGTACCGCTTGCCTGTGACACTGAGCTCAGCGGGGCCTGTGGCTCCTGGAGACTTCATCTCCAAGGGCTTCCTGGTGAGTATGGCTGGCTGTCTGGGGACGTGGGAATGTGTGGGGGCTGGCCCTTGATTCCTGTGGGGTTGGGTTGAGCATTGTCCTCACAGGAGGCAGAGGAGCAGGTGCAGCTTTGGCCACTGTTCTAGGCCCCTCTCCTCAGTCTCGAACCCAAGTGTTCTGGGCAGGGAGTCAGAAGGCCTGGTTCTAGTGTTTTTGCCACCAGCTTCTCATCTTTGAGCCTCAGTTTCCTCATCCAGAGAGTGGGCACCATCGCTCTTCTCCTTGCCGGGGCAGTGATGAAGCTCTGAGTGTACAGAAGTGCTCTCCAAACTGTGAAGTGTGGTCCTGCCCCTCCTTTGCTTCCCTCGGGCTGGCTCTGAACCTCTCAGGGACTGCTGTGGGTCCCAGGCTTGCTGCTCTCCCCACAGGGGGCGGACGATCTCATCTCCCTAGATGCACTCAGCACCGTCAGAGAGATGGACGTGGCCAACTTTCGGAGGGTGTCTCGAATGCCCATCTATGGCACAGCCCAGCCTAGTGCCAAGGTAACCACCCCAGGGGGCCTGGGTCCACTATTGGGGTGGCAGCAGGGGGAGGTTTGAGCTTTTTTCCGACTTTTCTCTTATCCCCACAGGCCCTGGGGAATATCTTGGCCTACCTAACTGATGCCAAGAGGAAGCTGCGGCAGGTTGTTTGGGTCAACCTGAGGGAGGAGGCCGTGCTGGAGTGTGATGGGCACACCCACAGCCTGCGGCAGCCTGGGCCCCCCATGACCGCTGACCAACTGGAGGTGAGGCCCTTCTGCCTCCTACATACCCCTATCTTGGAGGCCTTCTGGGGAACTGGCTTGGGAGGGTCTTTAGAAGGTCTTGTATTCTTATGGTGCAGATGGAGAAACTGGAGCCCCAAGGGGAACAGTCTCAGGGAGTGGCTGATTGCGGCTACCTGCCTGTCTCTGGGTCTGGCTGTGACCCCTGAGGCTCAAGAAGGGGCAGGCATGGGCCTGGAAGCCAGGACTGGCCCTCGCCATGGCGGGCTCTGGTCTTTCGGGCTGGCCTGGAGGTTGCCTCAGCAGCCTGTGCCCTCTGTCCCACCCTCCCCTAGAACCTGGAGACCCAGCTGAAGGCCCACCTGAGCACGCCTCCCCCAGGAGCGGAGGGCCTACGGACCCACAGATTCCAGACGTGCCTCACCACGCAGGAGGTCTTTAGCCAGCACCACGGGGCCTGCCCTGGCCTTACCTACCACCGCATCCCTGTGCCAGACTTCTGTGCCCCCCGTGAGGAGGTGAGGAGGCCAGGTGGGCGAGGACTGGGAGAAAGAGGAGACCCCCCGCCCCCTGGCCTGGGTCTTGGCTGTGGACACAGCTCTGCTGAGGGACTGGGAGCTTGTTCCACAAGAGTTCAGATTTGGCTCAGGTGGTTTATCCACATCCCTTCCAAGCTTGGTGTTTGTGCACGGGCGTGCACATGCGTATGTGTGTGTGTGTGTGTACAAATGTGTGTTTATTATGTATTATAGGTGTGTATGGGGGTGGAGCATGTCTGTGGCCTTTGTGGTATATGTGTGCCTGTTGTGGGACTGTTTGGAGCAGGTGTGGGTGTCACTGTGGAGTGTGTATATGTGTGTGGTGCATGTTTTTTATGGTCTATGATGTATATTTTGTCTGGGGGACAAGTATGGAGAACGTGTCTTTTGGGGAGTTGTGTGGTCTAGTATGTGTATGGATTTGTGGAGGAGAGTGTTGTGGGCCGCTGTGTGTGCTTGGTGTGTATCATGTGTGAGTCGTTGTGGGCCTGTATAATATGTTGGTTGTTTGGGTGACGTGTCTGTGTGGGTCTGTGCGGGGTGCGTGCAGGGCCTGTCATGTATTCCCTGCGATGTGTGATGAGTGAGCTTGGATTTCCTGCCTCATTTTGCTCTGTGGGTCTGGTAACCTGTAGTTTGCTGCCCCCTGGTGGCTGCACACTGCAGTGGTCACTGCTGCGTGGTGAGACTACTCTCAGGCTGGGACCATCTCAAGCTGGCAGTAGAATAGGGGGGGTCCACGGATAGCCTGAGGGCGCAGCACATGGGAGTTCGTATGCATGCGCTTGTTCTGCCTGGTGAATGGTGGCAGGAGCCCCAGGTGTGTGGGTGTCTCTGCTCAAGTGTCCTGGTCCTGGAGTGGTCACGCTGTACACGGGGGTGGGGCTGTTTACATGCATCTGGTCTTGTGTGTACACAGTGAGTTGAGGTGAGCCTGACACAGATCCTGGCACGGGGCAAGCACTCCCTTTGTGGGGTGAGCTGCCTCAGGAGCCTGTGCAGCCAGGAGCACCCACTGACTCAGACCTTGGTCTCCCCACCTAGGATTTTGACCGGCTGCTCGAGGTCCTGCGGGCTGCCCTTGCTAAGGATGCGGGCACTGGCTTCGTGTTCAGCTGCCTCAGTGGCCAGGGCCGAACCACAACTGCCATGGTGGTGGCTGTGCTCGCCTTCTGGCACATCAGAGTACGTGCGGCATCTTGTGTGAGGACAGGAGTCTGCCCAGGCAGGGTGGGCGCTCGGTCCCTGAGGACACTGGCTATGCCAGGAGGGTGTGGGGGTAGAAATCGTGCCCTGGTGGTCTCAGAGTCCCCTTTCATCAGTCCTGGGCAGAGGGCAAATGGGGCTGGCAGACCCCTGGCAAGGGGCTCCTGGCATAAGGGAGAGGTGCAGCCTGGGGAGGCGTGCTCCCCATCCCACCAGCTGTCCTCCCTCAGGGATTCCCCGAGGTGGGCGAGGAGGAGCTCGTGAGCGTGCCTGATGCCAAATTCACCATGGGAGAGTTTGAGGTGAGCACGCCCAGTGGAGTCCCCAGGGGACACCTCGGGGAGGGGAGAGGGCAAGTCTTGCTGGCAGGTCTGGGGAAGATCTCCAAGCTCTCCTCAATGCTGTTGCCTTCTTCTACCTCATCACATCAGTGCTTCTCTGTTCCCATTTTACAGATGAGCAAACCAAGGCATGGGGCAGGTGGGTTCTGGGGTCCTGGCAGATGACCATTGGAGATGGGGGGCCTAGACCCCTCTCACCCTGCCTAATCCTGCTACTGGGCTACTGTGTAGCCTGGGGGAGTCTGCTGGCCACCAGCCTGTCTGGAGAGCATTGACGGCCCCCTCATGGGCAGCTGGGACTCGGCTGTGGTTGGTGACCTTGGAGCAGGGCCCTGGCCTGCCCCGCCCCCACCCCCATCTCAGCAGGGCCTGGGTGGGCAGACGCTAACATTTCTGAATTAGTCACCCATGTATTGTGTGCCTGCCACATGTCGTCTTCCCAGACACCTTGCAAGGAGGTGGCAAAGTCTTCCCCTTACAGATGGGGAACGTAGAACTCAGAGTCAGCACTTATCTGCCTAGTGTCAGTGTTGTGGTTGGCTCTTGCCTCCCTGGCCAGCCTCACCATGTGCCCCTCCTTGCTGTCCTGCCGCCCCGGCCGTCATGCAGGTCCTCAAACACACCAGCTCTTTCAGCTTCCAGGCCTTTGCATATGCTGTTCTCTTACCGTGGACCTCTTTTCTCTTCCTTCTCCTGGCTGCTTTGCTGATTCTTTTCTTTATCTTTTTTTTTTTTTTTATAGTGGTAAAATATACATAGCATAAAATTTACTGTTTTAACCATTTTTAAGTGTACAGTTCTGCGGCATTAAATACATTCTCACTGTTGTACAACCAACACCACTGTTCATCTCCAGAACTTTTTCATCATCCCAAACTGATTGTACCCATTAACCAATAACTTCCCCTTCCCTCCTCCCTTTAGTCTCTGATAACCACTGTTCTATTTTCTATCTGTATGAATTTGACTATTCTACATGCTCCATATAAGTAGCATCACATAATATAGTACTTATAATAAATACTTGTTCTTTCGTATTTGGTGTATTTCACTTAAGATAATATCTTCAAGGTTCATCCATGTTGAGCATATATGAGAATTTCATTCTTTTCAAAGACTGAATAATATCCTATTATATATACATGTGTGTGTGTATATACATATATATACACATATATGTGTATATGTGTGTGTGTGTTTGTGTGTGTGTGTGTGTGTGTGTATTGTTTATCCATTCGTCTGTTGATAGACACTTGGGTTTATCCATTTTGTTTATCCATTCGTCTGTTGATAGACACTTGGGTTATTTCCACCTTTCGGCTGTGAGTAATGTTGCTGTGAACATCAGTGTACAAATAATCTGTTCAGGTCTCTACTTTCAATTCCATAAGTGGAATTGCTCGATCATATGGTAATTCTGTATTCAATTTTTGAGGAACTGCCATATTGTTTTTCATAGTAGCTGCGCCATTGTGTATTTCTACCAGCAAGCCACAAGTGTTCCAGTTTCTCTACATCCTTGCCAACACTTCTCGTAGTTTTTTTGTTTTTTTTTGTTTTTTTAGTAATAGCTATTCTACCGGTTATGAAGTGGCATCTCATTGTGGTTTTGATTTGCATTTCCCTAATGACTAATGATGTTGAGCATCTTTTCATGTGCTATTTAGCCATTTGTATATGTTCTTGGAGAAATGTCTTTTAAGTTCTTTGTCCGTTTTTGATTTGGATTGTTTTGTTTTTGAGTTTTAGGAATTCTTTATACATTCCCCAGTCCACTGGGGAACATCCAATAGCGTGTGAAGAGAGCTGGAATAGACCTCGGTTCTGAGGGCTGAGAGTGCAGCTGGGGAAACCCAGCAGGGGAGCCCAGGAGGGCTTCATGGAGGAGGTGATATTTGAGTGCATTTTAGAAAGATGAATGAGTCCACTGGGTGAGAGGGAGATGTGCGCAGAGGAGATCAAGTGTGCAAAGTCAGGAGTCTGGAAAGGTCAGGAGCTGTTTAAGGCTGTGATTGGCCAGAATGAAAGGAAGTGGTCTCTAGGTGGGGGACCTACATTGTGAGGACCCTGGAGGGTCATACTATGTATTTGACCTTAACCTTGAGGTCAGCAGAGAGGCAGAAGAGTTATGATCAGACTTTCATTCTGTGGGGCCCATACTGTGGAGGAGCGAGTGGAGAGGAGAGGCAGGGCCTGAGTGAGGAGGGGGCCGCTTGGCAGGAAAGAGAGGCCCAGTTCCCATTGGTAGGTTTTAGGGACCACTGGCCATGGGGTTAAGAGGGTACCCAGGATGACCTTTGGGTTTCTGGCTTGTGGTGACAGCCAAGGAGATGGAGAATTCACGGGGGAAAGCAATTTAGGGGAGAGGCTAGGAATTCAATTCATTGAGTTTGAAAAACCTGCAGCTTTTTGCCTGGGGAGTTCCCTGTGGGACATATTTCTAACTCTGTGCCTCCCTGGGGACCCATCTGTGGTCTGCCCTCCTCTCAAGCTTGGTGTTGGTCCAGATCCCAGGTCCAGGGTGTTGGCTGGTTGCAGCCTCTCCCCATGGCCTGAGCCAGGTTAGCCGAGTCCTCCCAGGCTATGGGTCCTCTCTTCCCACTAGGCTGTAACTCCACCCCTGCTGGTGTGCCAGCCCTGGGCGGGTCCTTTCTGAGAAGCACTAGAGGACGGAAGAACCTCCTCCCCAGGATAGTCCCGCTGTTGACCCACCTGTGGAGGTGGGGATGGTGGGCTGTGTGCGTCCCATGGCCTGAGCCAGGTTAGCCGAGTCCTCCCAGGCTATGGGTCCTCTCTTCCCACTAGGCTGTAACTCCACCCCTGCTGGTGTGCCAGCCCTGGGCGGGTCCTTTCTGAGAAGCACTAGAGGACGGAAGAACCTCCTCCCCAGGATAGTCCCGCTGTTGACCCGCCTGTGGAGGTGGGGACGGTGGGCTGTGTGTGTGGGCCGTGTGCGTAGGCAGCGGCCAGATTGAGAGAAGAATTAGGTCGGGCTTCTGGCCTTTTGTTCATTTAGCAGCTGTCAACGGGGTGCTACTCGGTGGAAGGGCTTCACTCTCAGGGGTCAGGGAGCTTCTCATCTGGTGGGAAGCGGATGTGAAACAAGTGAGCACGTGGGTGGATGAGCAGGTGCCCTTGACTGTGGGGCTCTGAAAGGACTGTGCAAGGTGTTGGGGGTGCACTGAGGGGCTCCAGGAAGGCATTGTCCTGCAGGGAGAATTATGAGTGAGGCAGGAGGCAGGTGGGGTCAGGCAGTGTGGGGCCTTGTAGACCTGGGAAGCTATCAGATATATGTTGAGTGCAAGGGAGCCATAAAGAGTTTGAAGCCAGGGATTCTACAGATGGGACTTGCTCACATTTGTCTTCTCATTAAGCCCTCTCTGGCTCCCAGGGAGGAGGTGGGGCTGCTGCAGTGGAGATGAGAGGGGATGGGGCCTGGATTGGTGCTGACTGTGGGGGTACAGGGTAGAGAGATTCGTAGAGGGGATCCACAGGGAGTGGTTGAGAGGAACGATGGGGGAAGAGGCCTGCCCCACAGAGCGACCTTCACAGGCCTGTCTTCCCAGGAATAAAGGGGGCTTACATCAGGTGAGTGGTGTCCACACTGGGTTCCCCATAGCTGGGTGTCCCTGGAGTGCCTGAGGGCTGCTGTGGGGTGAAAATAGAGCCAGCAGGGTCCCCACTTAGGCTCATCATACACCCTACCTCACCCCACCAGCCCCAGTTACACAACTGTCTGTTTTGTAGAGTTCTCGATAAGGTTTTGTTTGAAGCAAGGTTTCTACTGCTTAAAAAAACAGACACCTTAGGAGCCCCAGCTTCAGATACCTAGGAACCCCCTTGTTCCCCACCCCGAAGGCAGGCAGGGCTCTGTGGTCAGGGCCTGGGCCTTGAGGCCGGTGTGGCCCTTAGTATGGGGTGAGCCTGTTCCTGAGGCCCCACCTGCCCACCTTGGTTTTCTCTCTGCTCAGCCCCACTCCTCTGGCCCCAGGTGGTGATGAAGGTGGTGCAGCTGCTGCCCGATGGGCACCGTGTGAAGAAAGAGGTGGACGCAGCTCTGGACACAGTCAGTGAGACCATGACGCCCATGCACTACCACCTGCGGGAAATCATCATCTGTACCTACCGCCAGGTGAGCCCCACCCCTGATCCAGGTTCACAGCCCAAGGTGTGGCCACCGGGGGTGTGAGGTGGCTGGGGGTCCCGTGGGACCCTGAAGGGCTCTTGGTCATTTCTCCACCTTCTGGAAGTGGAGGTGATCCCTGAAATGGAAACATATCCAGCCCAAACTCTCCCTGGCTTGGTTCTGGAGTGCAGGGCGGGGTGTGTGCAGGGGTGATGTTCAGAATATTTAAGAGCTGTTGCGGCCCTGGGACCCATCCAGGATGTGACCAGTCAACGTGAAAACCTGTCCTAGATCCCTGTGCCAGGCTTTAACCCTCCAGTTTCTGTCTTGGGGAGCCTGGAGATCCTGGGCAGGAGCCAGCTGGTAGGTAGGGCCACTCTGTGGTCCTGGAGAGTGTGTTTAATAAATGGCAGGGCAGCAGTTAAGTGGTTCAACAGCTGATGCTGCTGAGGGACTGAGCATTCGATTATAAAAATCAGGTTTCCATAAAAGCCCAGATTTTATGTAAAAATTCAGATTTTCAGCCTATCTAGAAAAATGTGCCCTCTAGTCAGCCATGGTCCCCACCATTCTGCCACACGTGGCCCTCCTGACCCAGTCATGTAACCTGCCAGGCGTTAGGTTTTGTGGCCTCTGGGCTCTGTGTGGAGCGCACTGACCTGCCTGATTCTGTTCTCTGGCCTGGTGAATTAGGTTGGCTGTTGGGGCAAAGGAGGGTGCCGGAACAGGAAGGGGCAGCGGTGGGGAGGACGGGGCGCTTCAAGGATACTGTGCCTGAAGTGAGTGAACACCCCCATGGGTGCCAACCTTTTGTTTTCTGCTGCTGGCCACTAATTCCCAAAGAACAGCTTTTGCCTGTGGCCCCTGCAGAGAAGGGGCTGCTTCAAGCCAGGCCCATGCTCTCTCTGAACCCAGGCAGGCCTTGGTGAAATGGCTGATCCAGGCCAACCTTTGCTTAAGGTTATGGATCAGACCATGATTGGGGCAACAGGTTAGGTGCTTGCCTGCAGACAGGGCATCTGGGGTCAGGCTACGCCCAAGGTCAGATGTCAGTTGGAAGGGCTGTCAAATGTGAGGTAGGAAGGGTGGTTAAGGAGTTTCAGAAAACGGACTTTGCTGAACTCTAAAAGATGGACTAGTTTTCCCCAGGGCCTGCAGCTGGGTTTTATCCCCTTTTGAACTACCGTTGGGTCCCACTCATAGTGGTCTTGTATGCTGCTGGGTGGCAGCGATGAACTACAAAACTGAACTGCGTTCAGAGGATACAGAGAGGGCAGAGCACTGAGGGAGGCTTCCAGTTCTCGTTGTAGCTGGAGGCCCAAGTAGTTGAAAAGGGATGTCTAGCTTTGCTTCAAAGCATCATAAGTCCCCCACCTCACACTGGCCACACTCTGTTAGCCTCCCCTTCCCCACATCCCCTTCCTTCCAGTCCTGCTAGCCCTTAAGTGTCTTCAGGCATTCTGGGTATCTTGCCCCACCCCCACACCCAAAGCTGATAGGCCACCCCTCCTCTGAGCTCTGCAGCCATGGATGTCCTTTGTGAGGCACAAAAGGACATGGAGTATTAATGGGGTATGAGCTATGGGGAGAGAGGAGGGGTCCTACAAAGCCATGCTTGAACAATCCCAATATAATGAGAGCCTGGGAAGGCACTTCAGGTGGGAGAGACTGCATGGGCTAAGGCCAGGAGGCTGAAAGATGTAAAGTGAGCTAGAGACAGTGAAGGTGCTTTTGTGCTCACAAACACAGCTGTGTTGGGAGCCGTCAGAGATGAGGTTGGATGGGTAGGTTGGCTCTACTCCATTGGCAGTAGTGAGGGAAGGGTGGTGTGGTTGTGGCTACATTCAGCAGTGGTTGCTCTGGCTGCCTTTGGGGTGTAGAATGTTCTGATGAGGAGGGAGGAAGCAGAGCCAAGGGAGGGCCCTCACCCTCTCCCCACCAGGCCCACCAACCCCATTCCAAGGGCCAGGATGGTGCTGACCTTTGCTGTGGGAGGATGGGGATCCCTGGTGGCGGTAGTGGCTGCGGCAGGGGCGCGGCAGGGTGGTGGTGCAGTAGCAAGATGTAGAGTCATTCCCCAGTATAGCCGCCAGGTGGCCCCAGTGAGCTGAGAGGCAAACTCTCAAAGATGCTGGCTGACCAGCAGAGGGGCCTGAGAAACCCTCTGAGCCAGTCCTTCTTGCCCTGGCTGCATAATAGATTCACCTGGGAGCTTTAAACACCCATGCCTGAGCTCTATCCTTCGAGAGTCTGATTTAGTTGGTCTGCTGGGGGTCCAGGTCATGGGTCTTTTTTAAAAAAAATTCCCTAGGTGATTCCAATGTATAGTCAAGTTTGAAAACCGCATCCTATAAGCAGGGGTTCCCCTACTTTAGTGAGCTTCAGGATCTCCTGGAGACTTGTTAAATGCATGTTGCTGGGTCCCACTCCTGGGTTTTTGATTCTGTAGGTCTGGATGTCTAGCAGGCTCCTAGATGATGCTGATGCTTCTGGTTGGGTACCACACTTGTCAATTTCTGCAGCGAAGCCAGCTGAGATTTTATAGGGATTGCTTTGCATGTGTAAATAAATTGGGGGAGTATTACCATCTTAACGATAGTCACTCTTCTGATCAATGAATATACGATGTCTTTTCATTTATTTAGGTATTCTTTAATTTCTTACATGATGTTTTATAGTTTCCAGAGTGTAAGTTTTACACTTCTTCTGTTAACTTTATTCCTATTTTATTATATTTATGCTTTTACAAGTAGGATTGATTCCCTTATTTCACTTTTTAGCTTGTTCATTGCTACTGTATTTAAATATAATTGATGGTTGTGTATTGATCGTCTGTCTTGCAACCTTGCTAAACTCGTTCAATAGCTCTAAAACTTTTTTTGTTTTTGTGAATTCCTCAGAATTTTTTATATACAAGATCATGTCATCCACAAATAGAGATAGTTTTATTTCTTCCTTTCTAACATGGATGCCTTTTATTTATTTTTCTTGTCTAATTGCCCCAGCAAGATCTTCGAGTACGATGTTGAACAGAGATGAAGAGTGGCAAGAGCAGACATCCTTGTCTTGTTTCTGATCTTAGGGGGAAAGCTTTCAGTCTTTCGCCATTAAGTATGATGCTAGCTGTGGGTTTTTCATAGACAGCCTTTGTCAGGTAGAGGAAGTTACCTTCCATTCCTAGTTTGTTTTTTTCACGAGTAAACGTTAAATGTTTTTAAATGCTTTTTCTATGTCTATTGAGATGATTATATAGTTTTTGCCTTTTATTCTCTTGCTATAGTGTATTATGTTAATTGATTTTTGGATTTTAAACTAACCTAAGACTCTTGGATTAAATCCTACTTGGTCAGGATGAATGATCTTTATATATTTCTGCATCTGGCTTGTTGAAGATTTTTGCATCAGACTCGTAAGAGATACTGATCTGTACTTTTTTTTCTTATGATGTCTTTGGTTGGTATTAGGGTAATACTGGCCTCATAGCATGTCACTTCCTCACTTTTACAGATGAGGAGACTGAAGCATAGAGAGGAAGAGAAGTTATCACAAGTATATTAGTCAGCGTGGGCTGGCATAACAAAATACCACAGGCTGCATGGCTTCAACAACAGGAATTCATTTTCTCACAGTTCTGGAGGCTGGAAAGTTCAAGATCAAGGTTATAGCTGATTTCTAGTGAGGGCTCTCATACTGGCTTGCATACAGTTGCCTTCTCACTATGTCCTCACATGGCCCTTCCTCCGTGGGTGTGT